AAAAGTAGAGGAATTTAAAATTTGGCTGGCAATATTAATATATAGTAGTATTTTTAAATTACCTAGCATTAGAGATTATTAGAATATAGATAATAGATTTTTAGAACATAAGATCACAACTTTTATGACAATGCTTCGTTTCAAACAAGTATGTTCTTTAATAAGTATTTTTATTATATTATTACAGTAAATTATTTAATTATTTAATTAATTATTTTTTTATTTTTTTATTTGTTTTATTTTTTATTTTTTTATTTTTTTATTTTTTTATTTTTTTTTTGGTTTAGATTAAACGTTTTATGCATATTTTAGACTGTGCTGTTCCTCCTTTATATTGGTATTCTAAATTAGATCTATTAGCAAGCTATATTCAAACAATGTCTAAATTAATTTGCATTCCGTCATCAAATATTTCAGTTGACGAAATAATTACACGATTTTAAGTCGAAGTATACATACAGTTAGAATTAAAAATAAGCCTACTCCTGAAGGCTACAAAATTCTTTCTTTTTGTGATGCAGGTTATATATATGCATTTATTTTTACCTCACGAATTCACAGTCATCCAGAAGTAAACCCAATTTCAAATTTAAATAAAGCTAGAAATGAGGTTTATCATCTTGTTTCCCAGTTACCTTCAAATAAAACCTTTAATATATATATGGATAATTCTTTTTCATCTATTAATCTCTTTCAATATTTACACAATAATAATTTTAGTATATGCGGAACAGCTCAAACAAATAGCGCAAAATTTCCAAAAATACTTAAAGTAGATAAAAAACTAGATTGGGATACATTATCTGAAGTAGTTGTTGGTGAGGTTTTAGCTATTTTATAGATGGACAATGGGCCAGTTATGATGTTATCTACTATTCATCAAATTACTGGAAATGAAAACAGAATTAAAAGAATTCGACCTGACCTCGAGAAACTAGTACTAATACAAACAAAGTACAGGCAATTTTTGAAACTGCTAGTAAAAAACCCTTACCAATTCCTTGTATAATTGATGACTATAACCATCATATGAGCAGAGTAGATATAGCTAACTAGCTTTGAGGATATTATAGTATTCAATTGCCAGTAAGAAGAACTTGGATGCCTTTATTTTATTAGTTATTAGACACTTCAATTATCAATTCTTATTTAATTTTTAAAAAAAATGGTAAAAATATCAGTCATAAAGACTTCTGAATTTAGTTAGTATGGGTTTTATTAATGCAGATATAGAGGAAAATGATATAAACAAACCAAATACATGAAGTTGGGTTGAAGAATTGGCTAAAAATATTGATGCTGATTTATCAAGAATACAATACGTAACAAATAATTTTAAACTTTCCTTAATAAAATTATCTCCAGAAGGACATTTACCTGAATGGAGAGAAGAAAGAAATAGCTGTGTATAGTGCAGATATATAGCAAAAAAAAATAATAATGAAAAAGCCTCTAAAAATCTGCTACAGTCTCAGATTTATTGTATAAAATGTGATGTACCCTTATGTTGCAGCAAGAGTAGAAACAATTGTTTAAAAAACTACCACACATATAAGGAAGAAAAAAATTAATACTCACAAAAAATTCTTTTGTAGTCAAAATATTGATATAACCTTATAATTGTACAATAAATATAGTCCTGAAGGATCAGTATCTATAAATAATTATTAATTTAACACAAACTCTCTGTCGAACAATATATATATAAAACAATGAAATAAAAAATTATGAATAAATAAATAAAACAAATCACAAATAAATAAATAAAACTAATAAATAAATAATAAATAAATAAATTAAAAAAAAAAAACTGCAAAATCTTAGAATATTATTACTTTTTTACTTCTATATGAAGTCAGAATTCTATTTCTAAATTGTAAATTTGAACAATAAGAATTACTTATTAGTTCAAATTCTATATTTTTTACTAAGGTTTCTTATAGTTATAGTCACGGCACCATGAGAAATTTATAAATAAATAGTATCTTTTAAAAACATCAGGTTTTTACTAAAAATAATCAATTTGCAAATATATATAAATTAGGTAATTTTATATAATAGTGCAAAAATAAAGGTTTGGACTATTTGCAGTATTGATCAGTTAATTACGACAAAAATTTGAATGTATAAAATTTTATATAGAATATGATTAGATAAAAAATTGCAGACAAATTTGCCTGCAATTACTTACCATTTAAGGGATAAGTGTAATACTAAATTTAATCTATTTATAAGTTTTATTTTCTATACTATACAATAGTATTTTTTGCTAGATTATTATTTTTGAATTTTTTGTTGTTGCTCTGTATTAGATTTTAATAATCAGTAGAAAAAGTTTTATCTTTTTTGATTTATTAGTTTATATTAGTTAGTAAGGTATAATTAGTTATATATATAAGAGCAATGATATTTATTACATAATATCTTAGAGGGAGTAATTTAAAGAAATATGAACTAGGTGCTGAAAAAAGAGACAAAATTGATAAAAAAAAAGATCTTTGAAAAATTAATTTTTTTTTTTTATTATTAAGGTGGCTTATATTGCCAAAGGAATTTTATTAGAATTGCATACAGAATATATATTGATAGTCTCTACTGTTTGTAATTATATGGAGAATGTACAACAAGCCATATATACAACTTTAGTCATTATCTAATTTAAGTAGTCCGCTGCTGAAAAATTAATTTTTATATTATAAATTTTATAATAAATCATAAGAAAATACAAACTTTAAAGAGCTATACTAAAAAATTTTATTAATATAACTACTTTTATGTCTTAATAAAAAAATGATTCTAATATTATTTTAATTTGATTTATATAAAAAAATTGCTTTTGAAAAAATTGTCATTTTCATCTCTTTTTCTAGTACTTAGCTTATATTATATAATATTTAACTATATAAAATTGATTAATTATAAATTTATATGATGTGAGAAGAGGGAAGGTAGCCTTATAATAAAATAATATTATATAATATATATCACTGCTCTAACTTTAATTATAGTTTATTTAAAGGTTTTGCTATTAAATTTATTTACCAAATGCTATATCTAGTATCTATTTGTAGTGTTGATTATAAAATATTAAAAAATAAAAAAACTTTAATAATTTTTGATTTACTAATCTGAATTAGATAATACATATACCATTAGAATCAGTTCACTAAGCCAGATCTTAATTATCTCAGGATTCTGTAATTTGATTTTAATAATTCTTGACTCATTAGATTCGCCTCAGTAAGCTGATTCTAATAGTATATGTTTTATCCAAATTGGACTAGTGGATCAAAAGTTATTAAGGATTTTGTATTTTTCCTTACTATTTTATATGTCAACATTCTCTTCATCATATTTTTGAGTTCCACAAAAATGATAATTGATATTATAATAAGATATAAAATATTGTTTATTATATCAAATTCTTTGAGTTTTATATCCAAAATAGATTAAGCAACTAATTAAAAAGAAATTCTACTTAGTGCTAGTCTGCTACCATAACTTGTCAATAGATTAACTGTTAACTAGCAGGTATTAAACCTATGACCACTAGCCTCATAGTCACAAATTCAAACTACTTTACTAAAGCAGATAGATATTAAAATTTTTGCATATATTTCTTAAGAATATTCAAATTTGGTAATGATTAACTAATTAGAATAAAGATTCACATTTATTTGAAATTAAGGTTTTCTAATTTAAAGAGAAATTCAATATACATCAACTTTAAATTAAAAAAAATTAAAGTTGTAAACTTCAAAAATGGGAAAGAGAAAAAAAGTTATCAATACCAAAGGGAGAAATTACCACATAGAAATATAAAAAGATATAAAATAAAATAAAGATATAAAAAAAATAAAATAAGAATAAAATATACTAAAAATAAAAATATAAATATATAGAGTCAGGAAAGAAAGAAAAGAAAAGGAAGAGAGTATGTTGGTGGAGAGAATATTTAGAGAAAGGGAAAAAGAGATTTCAGAATTAAAACAGAGAATAAGAGATTTAGAGAAAAGAGAAAAGTAGAAAGTTGAAGAAAAAAGTTTTAGAATAAGAAAGAAGAAGGAATTTTTGTCAGATGAAGTGAAAGATTATAAGAGGATATGAGAGGAAGCAGAGAAAGAAAGGTTGAGATATAAAGAAGTTGTAGAAGAAAAAGAAGTAGAATAAGTTTTCATGATGATAGAGGAGTATAGAAAAGAGTTTGAGAAGAAAGAAAGACAGTTAGAATATGTTGATACAAAGTTTAAAGGAAGTAAGAAGTTTTATGAAGAAAAGATAAAGATGTTACAAGAAGATAATAGTAAGTTGGAGAAAGAATTTAAGAAGTTTCAGAAGATATAAATAAAGAATTGAAAGATTATAGAGAGTTTTTAACTAAGTATGATATTAGAGATTTTTTTAAGAAGATAGTTAAGTATAAGGAGAAGTTAAAGAAAAAAGAGAATGAATATAATCAGATATATAAATATTATAATAATATAATTGTATTTAGAGGAGATAAGAAGAAGGAGTTGAATAAGAGAATTGATAAATTAGAAGAAGAGAAAGAAGGTTTAAAGGAAGAAATTTGTAGGATGAAGTTGAAATTTTAAAATTTGTAAATATTTGTAAATAAAGTAAAAAAATTATTCAAAATTTTTCTAAACTAATAAAATTATTAAATAAAATTCTAATTAAATAAAATATAAAAAAAAATAATGGACACAAATTAGCAACTCTTTCCGAAGATCACTTGTACCAAAAACTTCTTACAAACATTTAATTATTTCTCAAAACTCTATTAAGTAAACTACTTCTGGGCTACTAAGTAAAGTTGT